CGCGATGATTTGATCTTGGATGTAGTAAGCGAGGTACGAAGAACGGACCCCTGTTCTGTTTTTTGCCACCCTCACCTTTGTTTGTTATCTCACTCTCAATAAAGCTTCCTCACCTCAGTTGTGCTGCATCCTGGGTCCTTTAATAACTTACACCTGGCTCGCGTCGCGAACCGTGACAAAGAAAGCATGTTATCCTAAGGCAGAGCTGCAGACGATCAAGAATCCATAACTACTGGATGGTGGACGTTTCTCTAAGCAGACAGTCAGTTCTTGGGATGCCAGCTGGATGTAGTTTCACAACCTTTAACTTAATCGCTGTGTGTTTTTGACATCTTATGCTCTGGTTTAACTTTTAAACAACCTGATTAATGAAAGCACATCAAATAACTCCTGTTTGTCATCAGCGGTGGCTTTAGGATCATCCTTACCTGCTCATGGTTGCAGTTGTTTATCGGTTGAATTGGCATTTACTTTATAGTGTGATAAGATGTTAATAAGCGTATAAAGCTGTAAAGCCTCTTGAGTGACTTAAATCGCCTTTCTTCCTCAGTGTGATGCTCAATGTGAACTGCAGGTCGTCTTGATGATGTCTATATGCCTTAACACATTGAGTTTCTTCAATATCATTGGTTAATTAGATATTTAGATTGATAAGCAGCCGAAATTGTGGAGCTACTAAAGTGACCAGTGAGTATACAGTCTGGTTATCATCATGTTTAACTTTGTTCACATGCACTGATGAATGAACAGCTGATGGCTGTAGCATAACGCCCACTGTAGAAAACAGTATTCGTTATCAGGAAACATTAAATGCTGAGTGTAAATGCGGCATCAAGGGCATCGACAAAAAAAAAAAAAATGCTCGTATTGGGAATGGCACAGGCACCGATCGGTTTTCTATCGCCCATTTGCTGGGAGTAAGGGCGCCCTCTGTTTGCGAGGTGCGCCTGCTGCTTGCGGCACAGGGAGGAGAGGGCGGGGGATTCTCTGAACGGCTGGAGCAGCATCTAATAACCAACTCGCAAAATAAAACAAAATAAAAACAAAACAACAAACATGAAAACACCAGACATCATGATACAGACTTATAATTTGCACTGATGTTTTTTCGAAATTCTATACGCGA